GGACCACCACAATGGGTGAGATACCGTTGGTCATGTTAATTTGGACGTCTAGTTTCTGCCACACTAGATGGCAGCACCGAGACTCTATTTGGATGCTAAAGTGCACTAGGAATTTAATTTTGCCGGAAATGCCAAGAGCCAATAAGGCACTCCAGGGATCTTTTACATGCCGCATAATCATACGACATGGCCGCTGAGGATTTTCTGCATCCCGAAAATCCGGTGTCTTGTCCGGGGATCGAACCCGCAGACTTAGGCTCAGAAGGAATATATATATTTATATATATATATATATCGGCTAAAAGATTATGACGGCGAAAGCAGAGATTTTTATTCGCTACCCTAGAAGCGCGCATAATTTACATAGATTGTAAATAATTCGTAAAACATTTTTTTAATAAATTAATTTGCTCCATAATTTATTATTGAATAATGTATCAAACAGCAAGATATTCTTTGTATGCTTAAGGTATTTTGAAATCTATCATGTTATAATAATTATTAAGTTATGATAAGGAAATTTTAGATGTAGAAGAAAAATGCTCTTTAAAACTAAATGATGCAAATAATATTTACTGTTACAGAAACTAAATATGTAGTGATGAAAATATTCAATTAAAACGATTAAATATAAAATTTTGACTCATAAAATATACAAACCATTTTAAGTACAAAAGCTTGCGAAGTCTACTACGAAAAAAAACCTTTAAATTAAAACATTAAATTTTACACGAATTTTTCTCAACATCCACAAACTTGCCAACATCCAGACAAGAAACCTATATAAATCAATGATGAACTGAAAGATTCTATCATTCTTTTATTCCATAAAGTAGTGGGAGGATGGGAAGATATAGAATACTTTAAACAGAACAAAATCGTCTTTATCATCTAACTCCCTGTTTCAACCTACCTTTTTACCAGAGATGATTAGAAGTAAATGTTCCAGCAATTCTGCTTACCTGTGCGTGCCAATATCAGTTACCCATGTTTGTTCGCTAAAATGAAACAGCGGGCGTATAAACGAACATTTTTCCTCTTTTTTTTATGTTTAAATTTTTTTTTTCGATCGCAGTCTATTATTGTGAAGACAACTCCTAATGGACTTCGTAACTCCTTTCTGTACTGCAAATTTTTTCTTCTTCTCAGGTACATTCATCATTCTGTTCGTGACGTAATTAGAATGTAGAAATTGATTTTATTCGGTCTAAAATGAAAGTGCTACTTTTCTAAGTATGCTGCTATAAAATTCTTAATGAAGTGAACTACATATTTAAATAATGAGAAAAACGAATTATTTGGACCATTTTATCGATATTACATGTTAATTAAGACACAAAATCGTCCATCAAAATCTATTGAACATTTTTTCGATGATTGAACGCATAAAAGTCAAAACAATCGGACAAGTTTTCAAACTATTTTTAAAAAAATGGACTACTCTATAAAACTTTCGATTTACTGATCGGATTTTCCCGTTCTAGGATTCAATGATAATGGTTCGAGGGGGTGACCTCAAATATGCTAATTAATTATTGCAGACGATATCTTATGTGACGAAATCAGACATAAAAGCATTCTTTCTTTGAATAAACATAAAATTTTCACGTCGGATTCGGATTTTTGTACGCCAATAAATAAAGAGGTAGTCGCAATCTGGTAAATATGGCCTATAATATAAATTTGGTCAGGAGAGGGGGTCGAGAGTTTGGACCATTTAATGTTAACTTTATTCTTTAAGTCTTCCGCTATATATCGTAAACTTCTTAAAAGAGATGAAAAATTTTTTGCATACAATTATAAAATTCGTTTATCCTTAGAAAATTTCAAGAACAAAATAACTTTTAGTAAATGATTATTATTTATTATTATTTTAGTCAATAATAGTTGAGAAAAATTTGAATTGTAAAGTATACAATATTTTTTTAAATTTTTTTAAAATAATGTTATTATGCAAGGCCAAAAAAAAGAAAGATTTTGTTTTGAGCAAAATCGTTCGAATAGTTCATGAGAAACAAATATGCAACCATGAGCCTCGATGGCTCAGGGGATAGAACGTTCGCCTCCCAATAAAGTGACCCGGATTATAATCCCAGTGATAGCTTATCAATACGAATACCACACCAGACTCGCACTAATCATAGTACTGACGTAATATATCCTCAGTGGTAGGTGGATCATAAGTTAGAATAGTTCCCTTGCCGTCTGGCTAACCATGGGAAGTTTTCAAGGTTTTCTTCTCCATGTTAGTTCCATCAAAAGATCCTCCACGATGGCAAATTTCTCTCAGTATTTGATTGAGGAGTTCCATAGTCTTTGGATTGGGTCCAAAAATACAAGTCTACGGAGTTGAACATTGGTAGTCATAAGCTCCAAATTGGGTTGGCTAATCAGTGACGTTTATAAAATAATATGAAATATACAACCGTTAATAAAAAAGAATTGTGTTATTCGGTATAAATAATTAAACCACACATTTTTACTAAATAATTTCAACGCTGTTGCTAATGTCGTCGGCCATTAAGGCAGAGGGGGAGTGATTGTTCTTGTTTTCCTATGGCGCCATCTTTGGCCTGAAATACGACTTCTGCCACACCCATACGTCCCACCGGTTTATAGGGTGTACCCATTCATTCTTATACAGACCGTAACTTTGACCTGAACCAGAGCACGATCAATCTCCAATTCAGTACCCCAAGAGGTATTGATTTGTTATGGGAACATGGAGAACTTCGTGATCAGACGTGCACCAGTCACTTACAGTTTAAGGAGCACCAGTCACCATTTACTACGCGGGGAGTCTTCGACCGCCTGGATTCGAACTCCTGTTCTCACAAACGCGTGTCCAACACCCTTCCAACCAGGCTATCCCGGCCTATAATTTCAGTAACTGAAGATAACGCGTGACTTAGAAAATAACTATAAGATCACATAGTGTTTCGTTTGCATTCATTAGTTTTCGAAAAATAATCCTTTCAAATTCCCCTTTTAATTTCAATTAAACAACAAAAGAGACGTCTATTATTGACACATTGATTCGCTCATTTTGGCCTTTCCTGAGATCTGATCGCATCTAATACTGAATGAAAGTGTCAATAGAAAAGAGTAATAATTACATCACGGAAACTATTTTCCGGGAATTGTTCTCACTGCAAAACAACTCATCGCTGTCCCCTTGGGATAACAATAAAAACTAAAAGAGAAAAACGTGGAAGCCATTATGAGTAAATATAACTTCTGGTTAACACTTTATCATTCCCCCTTGCTGAAAAATAAATGAACACAGCGAGGAAATTCACCCCAGCACAGTTTGCAATTCCGAGTAAGGTGAGGCTATTAAAAACACACTATTTTCACACTTTGCGCCATTTTCTTTTCATATACACTGAAAAAAATTCCGGATCAAATTACAGTGAAAAGTATTGAAACTCCGAGTGCTGCATTCGTAAAATCCATTATACTGTAAAATCTTTTTCACCGTAAAATTTTAAACTGTATTTTCTATTATTTAATTAATATGATTGAGTGGTTTTACTGTAATTATTACTATTAAATCACTAAATCATTGTAATCATATAAATATTACTGTAAAAAATGCAGTACAATGGATTTTTGCTCCACAAAAATTTTCGGGGAAAAGTAGTGGCACCCTGAGTTCCGGAACTTTTTACCATAATTTGAAGCGGAATTTTTTACCGCTAAAGGTACATAAGTATAATAGCAATGAAATTTAACTATGTTTCTTCATTTAGGTTTTATATTTAAATGAAATTAAGTTATAAAATCTAAATGAAGAAACAGCAGTATTTCACGCGCTAAATGAACATTTCAAATGCCTTGCAAATTGTCTACAAAATATTTTGAATTCCCTTATTATATATATCCAGGATTAGTCTAAATTATTTCGGCAATATAAAAGGGTTGATATACAAGCAATGAAGCTTATTATCACGAAACTTTATATAGAAAAGGATATCTTTTCTAATAATATTGAAATAACTGTTTAAATAAATCATAAGTTGAAAATGGGAATTTTTTTTTTAAATACAAAAAGGCTCCGCCCACTGTTCGTTTCATTCACCAATCCCCATGTCTGCATCCTATTTTTCATGTTTTTTCCACCTTAAAAGGCGATATTTTACAAAAAAACGAAATCAACGTATAAATAAAGAACATTTCTTTAAAAAATACGAAATTACTATAATTTTATGAAAGAATATTTTGTTAATATGTTAATCGTAACAAAATAAAAAATCACCTGGTTTCAAAAATAAATCAATCCTACA